GTGGTGCTGGGGGTGGTGGTTGGGGTGTGAGCTAGAGGGGATGGGGGTCGTGGTGTTAGTGATGGAGGGGGTGGTGATGATGGAGGTCGTGGTGGTGGTGATGGTGTTGTTGTTATTGTTATTGGTGGTGATGGTAGTGACGGTGGGATGGCGGTGGAGGTGCTGTTGTTGTTTTTGGTGGTGGTATTGTTGTTGACTTTGACAGGCACTATTGATGCAGCCTGCCTTTTTAATGATCTAAATTACCTCGATTGAGGCGTTAACCCCCATCCCACCCCCGGCAGTGCTACTGACTGAATTGTCTTTAAGCCATTCGCAAAGTGGGGACATTAACATGTTCTAATGTACTGTAGACATGTAAATGGACTGATTTTTCAATGTCATTTTCAGACTGTGCCAGAACAACTTAGGGGGAACTGCTGCTTTTTCTACCCTCATCCTTACTATCGTCATGTTTTCTCTACTTTTTTTGTATTTTGTCCATCTCTTGTGAACTATTATTTCCGGGGTGCCTTAATAGTCGAAGCAGACTTTGCTCCTCGTTTTGACTTCTTTTTTTTTTGACATCCACCCCTTGGCGCTCATATGACCTTATGCAGTTGTCAGCTCCGTAAAACCTTACTAAAACCTTACTAAAACTAAAAACACTTGTAATTACATTTTCAACAAGCAAAGTGGGTTGTTCGCGGGTGCTCTAGTGTGGTTTGCTCCTTCTATCGTTCTTACTTCCCCTCCCTCTGACGTATGTCTGTTACTTTCTTGTAACACCTCCAATCTTCGACACTCATGTGATCTTTTCGTGTGCCGTAAAAAGCTTGCTAATACAAAACCCAAACAGCAAACAAAGGGACCCATCTGTTTCTCATTCCACCCATCATGTTTGGTTTTCCACAGTATGACTTCGACTTCGTGCGGACAGAGCGAACCTCCAGGTTCAGAATATCCCTGCCCAATGCCCAAACAACTACGTCTGCCACCGGAGAAACGTCATTGGAGGAGCATTTCTACCTGAACCTGGACGGAGAGGCTTTGCTCATTCACAAACCTCACTTTGACGTCAGGTGCGTGCTTTTCGTAGAAATACTGAAGAGTTTTTAAATTGCTGTGAATCGTTTTATGTCAATGCGTTTGTGTGTGTTTGTGTGTGTGTATGTGTGTGTTAGTGTGTTTGTGTGTATGTGTGTGTGTGTGTGTGT